TATAGACTAGACTATAGACTAGACTATAGACTAGACTATAGACTAGACTATAGACTAACTATAGGCTAGACTATAGACTAGACTATAGACTAGACTATAGACTAGACTACAGACTAGACTATAGACTAGACTATAGACTAGACTATAGACTAACTATAGACTAGACTATAGACTAGACTATAGACTAGACTATAGACTAGACTATAGACTAGACTATACTAGACTATATACTAGACTATAGACTAGACTATAGACTAGACTATAGACTAGACTATAGACTAGACTATAGACTAGACTATAGACTAGACTATAGACTAGACTATAGACTAGACTATAGACTAGACTATAGACTAGACTATAGACTAGACTACTAGACTAGACTATAGACTGACTATAGACTAGACTATAGACTAGATATAGACTAGACTAGACTACTAGACTAGACTATAGACTAGACTATAGACTAGACTATAGACTAGACTATAGACTAGACTATAGACCTAGACTATAGACTAGACTACTAGACTAGACTATAGACTAAGACTATAGACTAGACCTATAGACTAGACTATAGACTAGACTATAGACTAGACTAATAGACTAGACTATAGACTAGACTATAGACTAGACTATAGACTAACGAATAGACTAGACATAGACTAGACTATAGACTAGACTATAGACTAGACTATAGACTAGACTATAGACTAGACTATAGACTAAACTATAGACTAGACTATAGACTAGACTATAGACTAGACTATAGACTAGACTATAGACTAGACTATAGACTAGACTATAGACTAGACTATAGACTAGACTATAGACTAGACTATAGACTATGACTAGACTATAGACTAGACTATAGACTAGACTATAGACTAGACTATAGACTAGACTATAGACTAGACTATAGACTAGACTATAGACTAACTATAGACTAGACTATAGACTAGACTATAGACTAGACTAGACTACTAGACTAGACTATAGACTAGACTATAGACTAGACTATAGACTAGACTATAGACTAGACTATAGACTAGACTATAGACTAGACTATAGACTAGACTATAGACTAGACTATAGACTAGACTATAGACTAGACTATAGACTAGACTATAGACTAGACTATAGACTAGACTATAGACTAGACTACAGACTAGACTACAGACTAGACTATAGACTAGACTATGGACTAGACTATAGACTAGACTATGGACTAGACTATAGACTAGACTATGGACTAGACTATAGACTAGGCTATAGACTAGACTATAGGTCTAAGCTAAAGACTTGGCCATAGACTTATATATAGATTAGGGTATTGACTAGATTATAGACTAGCCTATAGACTGGACTCTACACTAAGTTGTTAACTGGATTATGATATAAACGCCAATATATTCTACAAATTTAGAATTTCAGTTATAAGTTTGGAAATGATGTATCTCAATTCTTTTACTTTTCATATTCTAGCAGCAATGATCTCATTGCAAAAACAGCCAAAAGTATTTGCAACAGAAAAAGGATAAAGGAAATTCAACAGAAAATAAAAAGGAAGTTAAATAAAACCTGTGTAAACATTTGCTATTTTATTGAAATGCAATAGAGTTGCAGAGTAGTTGCTTGAATTTTTTTCCTTCTTCCAGTTTAATGTAAAATTGTTGTATAAATTGAAATAGAATTGTAAAAACATATAGAGGAAATGGCTTGGAATTTGCATAGAATTTGGGGGTGAACAAATTGTTTAAAGAAAAGGATTGCCAAAATACAGAAAATTTAAAAGAAAGTAAAATTTTTTTACTTTTCTATAACTTAATGAATTTTCGTTTAAACTTAAATGTTTCTTTTTGCATTTTATCAAATGGTGAAAAACTTTACAATTCTTTTAGGAATTACCTCATTCAATCTGCTTAATTCCCCTTAAAGATTTAAGATAACATTTTAGCTTATTATCTTGATGTATTCTTTGTAAAGACTTTTGTTCAAATGCTGGCAATACTTTTTTCGGTATTATTGTGATTTCTTTACAAAATCAAATTCTACCAATACAACCATTGAAATTCAACACTACTCTATCATTGACTTTAACTTGAAATACCGGAAATAGCTGTCACACATACCTGAAATACAATACAACTTTTAAATATGTCTATGCAAAGAAACCCTGCAGTGTTAGAAATAGCAATTCGCGAATAGTACAAGAGCGAAAGGAATTTCTAGAGAGCTAGTTTTTTAAAAGAAAAGCAAAGCTAACTAGTGTTAGTTTTCTTTACATAAAATCCTAATACTACGATCTGCAGGGTTAGGATAAATGCAATGTCTTTGGTTCTATGGGAGGCATAGAAAGAATTCTATGAATTCAATGATTTCAGTTGCTTTTGTTGTAAAATCGACAAAAAATGTTTCCTAATAAAACCCTGTTGAGATTATCTTGTATAAAAGTTTAATATAAACTTAAACCTAAAGTTCTGTAAATTTTCTTACCTAAAAAAACTTCTTTCAAAATCTTTCAAGCAAATAGAATAAGTAAGAAATATATACCAAACCAAGTGATTCCCTACACTAGCTATGAATCAGTTTAAATTTATTTATACATGATTTGTTCGACCATATTAGGACGAGTCCAATTGTTTGTTAATGAAATCGTCAGACATGAGTAAGTGCACAAGTACAAAAATCGTGAGCTGATCGAACTCCTGATGACGATCTTTTTCATTAACTGGGTAGATTGAGAACGGCCCACCACTCTCCCTCGAGTGAATTCGATAAAGAACAGTGCATGAGTACAAAAATCGTGAGCTGATCGAACTCCTAATGACGATCTTTTTCATCCACTGGGTAGATTGAGAACGGCCCACCACGCTCCCCCGAGTGAATTCGATAAAGAACACTCAGGTGATAATTTTTGTACATGGCTTTACCGGTCCACGAAGCACTTTGCTGAAGTACTCGAGCTATCTAATATCTTGCCAAGGAATCACGTTGCGGAATGACAGGTATAAACAATACTTCCCCGACAGGCGGAGAAGTGCCGGGGGGGGGGGGGGTTACGAAATACCAACAAACGCACCCGATAAATCCATAATCTCCATATAACACCGAGATGAACAATCAGGTATAAATGTTGTCATGAGCGACGCCGTAGCGTCAGGTCAGACAGATTTATCGTCCCTCTGTCGCACAACCACACCACAAGGCTCTGTTGCTTCGGCAGCAGCACCTTGAGACGTATTTGGTAGTCCGAAGTGTCGAGATAATGTGCTAAAGGAAGTAGGAATTTCCAAAATCAATCGAACCCAATAATTGCCCAGTACTAGTCACACTAACAGGAGTTCCCCTTGGTTGCATAAGAAAATAATCCTATCAATTTTCTGCTTACCAAATCCCGATTATTGTTGGTTATGGAGCTGTCAGAGTCTCTTGATTGTATTACTATCAATGACCTCCCAAACAATTTGTGGGGATTCAGATATCGGCTATTGACTGAACTTAATCCTCCTCAGAACGTTGACATTTAGGCTCGCCTTTAGACGTATGAAATGGAATTATCTGCTCAGCTAATATGCACTGAACTTAATCCTACTCAGAACGTAGCCATTTAGGCTCGCCTTTAAGAAGAGGAATTATCTGCTCAACCAATACTGACTATGCCCAGTTCAATACTAGCAAATCATCTCAAGAAAGAGACTCGATATGTTGTTTGCCTAACCGTTGTTGATCTGCTATTGTATAAAGAGGTCCTTCTAGGTGGCGTAATGTGGGGTTAGATACACCCGATTGGGCTGGGGAACCCAAAATCTTGTACTCAGTGTTCCATTGCTGGCTGGGATATGTGTAGCTCGGGTATCCGAAGGGTACTCATCTTACTTTCAACAGTAAAGTTTTGCTATTTCCAACAATGTTCAAGAGTAATATTTCTTTTTGAAAACTATAAAGTCGTCCTTCATGATACATAACTATTCGAACAGATCTGATTTGAAAATCGAACGAAATGGATTATACATCAGAATTTGGCATTATTACTGTGGGTATATCATTCCGTCTTTCAAAATCTTTAATTACAATCTATGAGATTAGAGGAGCTTCTGTATACTATGAATTGTTCAAAAAGGGAAGCGCGGGTAGGAATTTATGAATTCAAAGCGGCGAATTGGCTCTGATCAAAACAACGTTTAGAATCCCAAATGACATCGGTCAAATTGTCTTTGTTATCACAGGAATTATATATTTCTGAGAACGTTTAGGAAAAAAACTTTCAGAATCCCAATTCAAAGTACTTATTCCTTACATGCTGAAATATTGGCCATTAGAAAGACTCAAATTGCGGAGTGTAGCTTAGAGAGAGAGAAAGAAAAGTTTAGGCCAATGCATCCTAGAATTTTGCGAAATATCGGCCATAAAGAGAGCATCAAATTATCTCTGGTGTTACAGAATGTTGCGTCCAGTGGCTTTGATTATAAACGGAATTGAATATTCCGGAGGACGTTTAGGATGATTTTCAGAATCCAAATTCAAAGTAGTCCTCTACAGGCTGAAATATTGGCCATTAGAAGGACTCAAATTGCGGAGTGTAGTGTAGGACAAGAGACAGAAAGGTCGGCCATAAATAGAGCATTAAATTATCTCTGGTATTATAGAATCTTGCGTCGTAGCGACAGGCTGAAATATTGGCTATTAAAGGGACTCAAATGGAATAGAGTAGGTTTATAATACAGGGAATTAGGTGGGAGTTCTATAGCAATTAATATGAAGTATGAAATTAAAAGAAATTTAAACAAATTCTAAAACGATTTGGCATACTTTTAGGAGGGACTATTTTTTTACGCCTTGTTTCAAACTCTAGCACAAATACATAATACTCTCCTTATGATAGTAGGGGAGAGTATTAAGTATTGTAAGTTGTTAAAACTGTTGTACATTTTATCGTCTAAAAATGGCTGCAAATTGTTCAAATTTAAAATCAATTTTTAATTTAAATAAATCTATTACTTTTCCTTAAAACTTAAAAATAATACTTTAAAAAAATACTTAATGCAAACATAAATGAAGCCAAATAGAAGGTAACATATAGAGTGCAACTAACACCCATATTACGCTGCTGTACTTGGCTGGGCTGAAAACTAATCACTTTATCGATTTCCTCTTGGCACTTTGTTTCATTCTTTACATGTCTGAATAAGGACTCTATAATATTGGCCGGTGTAATTTCATTGCATTTCTCCAAATAGCTGAGTACACACTCCTCAAAGTCATGCAAATCAATGCATTGTTTGGGGCCCAACACCAACTCCGGCCATTCCTGTTGCGGCATTAACTCACCACCCTCCGGCAGATAGGCTGAGAAGGTGGCATTCATGCAATTCGATATGTTCTCCTTATTGGCTTCCAAACACTCGGGGCCCTCCTCAGCAATGAACAAAGCAATTTGATCACCATCTTTATGGCAAATGAAACCCAACAGCGAAGTGATGATACGCATCATAATGGCATTTTGGGCACGTTCGGCCGGCGTCAGGCAGGGTAATATTTGTGCATTAAACTCCAGCAGACAGTGTTCGGCTTGTGGCAATTTGCGACAGTATTTGTGAAAGACAACATCCAAATCACCCGCCGGACGTGCTGCCTCTATTTCGGCCATCAACACTGTTATATTGGCAATGCTATTGGCACACTGTATTAATTTGTTAGCTGCCATTTCAATGTTCTCATAGGTTTGTGGGGGATTCTGGGAAATTAAAGCCACCTTTTTGCATTTCTTATGCAACAGAGTCTTGGCATCTTCTAGAGTGAAATTCTTGTTGGTAAATTGTTCTGGCAAATAGTCACGCGTTAATAATCCCAAATCATTTTGTACAGTTTTTTGTGTTTTTAGTCCGAAACATAATCCATTGATTACTATTAACGTTAGTAAAAGTTTCATTTTCATTACTGCTTTAACTACAAATCTAAACTAATTTATTAAATTTTTTCTTTGGTTATTAAAACAATTTAAATATTGCTTTCTAAAAATGAATTTATCTCTTATTTGATTAAATTTGTTTAATCTTATCGTTAGGTTAATAGAAATTTTTCAAGTCATTTGAATTTGACCAATATTTTTTCCAAACAAATCTTATCTCTTTTAGGCGAATGTTGTGTGGTTTAGTAGTTTTTTAAATCTTTTAATAGTTTAATCTTTAAAAAAAAAACAAATTAGTAATTTTAGACAGTAAGGTCAGGAATTTTTGGATATTGTTTTGATTTTCCTATTAGTCAGCGTTTTATAAACAATTTATATTTCTGTAACTGAAAGATATTGATTGGAATAACAGACGATAAGCATTTTGTCACTTAGTTTGTAACACCAATATTGTATATATTCCGATATAGTTTTGAACGAGTTTTTTTGATATTTAAAGAGTTCTTTATCAGTCAGTTGTATCCAAAAGCAATGAATAAGCTTAAGGCCCTTGGTTGTCAAAATTGGATGGATATTTATTTGAAATAGACTGTATGTTGTCCTCCTAAAAGAGGCAAATAAGGGAAACCTTAACATATATACATGTATATATACTCTGAAGAATCTGCTGTAATAGCTCGAATAAAGTAATGATATGTACGATTTCGCTTTTGGACTCTGGTACTACAATCTGGAAACAGCGATGACTGTTTATCAAGGCATCCTCAAAGGTCTTACATCGAAAGCTCACCACTTCCGATCATGATTAAGGATTTTTACGTGCGTAATCATACATATGGAATTAATGGCTCTCTAATGATATCTGCGACGACAGAGTTAGTTAGTTAGTTAGTTAGTAGTTAGTTAGTTAGTTAGTTAGTTAGTTAGTTAGTTAGTTAGTTAGTTAGTTAGTTAGTTAGTTAGTTAGTTAGTTAGTTAGTTAGTTAGTTAGTTAGTTAGTTAGTTAGGTTAGTTAGTTAGTTAGTAGTTAGTTAGTTAGTTAGTTAGTTAGTTAGTTAGTAGTTAGTTAGTAGTTAGTTAGTTAGTTAGTTAGTTAGTTCGTTAGTTAGTTAGTTAGTTAGTTAGTTAGTTAGTTAGTTAGTAGTTAGTAGTAGTTAGTTAGTTAGTTAGTAGTTAGTTAGTTAGTTAGTTAGTTAGTTAGTTAGTAGTTAGTAGTAGTTAGTTAGTTAGTAGTTAGTTAGTTAGTAGTTAGTTAGTTAGTTAGTTAGTTAGTAGTTAGTTAGGTAGTTAGTTAGTAGTTAGTTAGTAGTTAGTTAGTTAGTAGTAGTAGTAGTTAGTTAGTTAGTTAGTTAGTTAGTTAGTAGTTAGTTAGTTAGTTAGTAGTTAGTTAGTTAGTTAGTTAGTAGTTAGTTAGTTAGTTAGTTAGTTAGTTAGTTAGTTAGTTAGTTAGTTAGTTAGTTAGTTAGTTGTAGTTAGTAGTAGTTAGTTAGTTAGTTAGTTAGTTGTAGTTAGTTAGTTAGTTAGTTAGTTAGTTAGTAGTTAGTTAGTTAGTTAGTTAGTTAGTTAGTTAGTAGTTAGTTAGTTAGTTAGTTAGTTAGTTAGTTAGTAGTTAGTTTAGTTAGTTAGTTAGTTAGTTAGTTAGTTAGTTAGTTAGTAGTAGTTAGTTAGTTAGTTAGTTAGTTAGTTAGTTAGTTAGTTAGTTAGTTAGTTAGTTAGTTAGTTAGTTAGTTAGTTAGTTAGTTAGTTAGTTAGTTAGTTAGTTAGTTAGTTAGTTAGTAGTTAGTTAGTAGTTAGTTAGTTAGTTAGTTAGTTAGTTAGTTAGTTAGTTAGTTAGTTAGTTAGTTAGTTAGTTAGTTAGTTAGTTAGTTAGTTAGTTAGTTAGTTAGTAGTTAGTTAGTTAGTTAGTTAGTTAGTTAGTTAGTTAGTTAGTTAGTTAGTTAGTTAGTTAGTAGTTAGTTAGTTAGTTAGTTCGTTAGTTAGTTAGTTAGTTCTTTCGTTCTTTCGTTCGTTAGTTTCGTTGTTCGTTAGTTTTCGTTGTTAGTTCGTAGTTGTTAGTTGTTGTTCGTAGTTGTTCGTTCGTTCTTAGTTGTTAGTTTTGTTTTAGTTAGTTAGTTCGTTCGTTAGTTAGTTGTTCGTCGTCGTTCGTTGTACGTTGTTTTTTTAGTTGTTGTTAGTTGTTCGTTAGTTAGTTCGTTGTTAGTTAGTTAGTTAGTTAGTTAGTTAGTAGTTAGTTTTCTTAGTTTTGTTTCGTTGTAGTTAGTTATTGTGTTAGTTAGTTCGTTAGTTAGTTAGTTAGTAGTTAGTTAGTTAGATTAGTAGTTAGTTAGTTAGTTAGTTAGTTAGGTTAGTTCGACCTTCAATCCGAACAAAAATTTCGGTCGTAATTTAAAACAATCAGTCCAAAATTGGTCCACCTATTAAAACCTAAAGCGGCAGTTCAAGATCAAAATAACAATTGCTCGCGTTCGATGCACTCCTAGGGTTACATCAAAGTTTACGAGTTTTCTCTTTGTCGGTCATCTTTTCCTTCTGTCCTTTCTTATTGATGCAAGTATCCTCTAGTCCATTTTATTTTATTGCCTCTAAATGATTTCATTGCAAAATGTTTAAATATGTTTTCTCTTTGCAAATATCTAATTAGGTTAATTGAAGAAATTTGTCGCCATTTTTTATATATATAATTTTTTGCTGTCCCTTTATAAAAGGGAGATAAATTAAATAGTATTTGGTATAAAAAACCTCTTGGCCCAGTGGAGGAACTACTATTCTCTGCTGTTATTGTTAAGAAAAACTAAACTGACATTAAGATGTTTGTTGAGCTTCTCTTGTGCCATATTTTGCATCGTTTTTCTACTTTTCATTTAGGAGAATGAATTTTTTCAATCTAAAATTTTATACAACTATAATGGAGCGGACATTAAATTGTGGGTAAGAGAGACCAGATGTTGAAGAGATATATAAGAAATTTAAAATATAATCATGTATGTATATGATCTGCGCTATATTTTAGTCAATAGTCTGAACTATACTCGAGGTTATTGTCTAGTCTAAAGCCTGGACTATAGTCCGGATTATAGCCTCATCAATTACCTGGGGTATTGTGTAGTCAATCGTCTCGATTATACTATAGATTGTAGCTTAGTCTATAGTTTGAACTATGTCAATTTATATAGTCCAAACTATTGTTTAAACTGTAGACTATAGTTAAATATATAATCTAAACTATAGGCTAGACTATAATAGTCTGTACTATAGTCTAGAATACAGCTAGCTTATTGAATGGAATGTAGTCAAGTGCATAGTCTGGAACATAGACTACTAGTCTGTTTAAATTACCCTATTCTTTGGCCCACTGGGTCACCTTAAACATGCAGTATTTGTCTGCCAAAGTGTCCTTAAAACAAACTCCTCTTCTACTCTAGTTCTTTGCTATTGTTCCATTTTCCCCACTATTTACTTACTCCTTTCATTTAGTTTGACTTTATAATACTCAAGTGTTGTACGCTCTATATAAAAAGAATCCAAAAGAAATTATATAGGAAAAAAATCGCTATGAAGAGCATAAGAAAGAATAATAAAATCTATTTTAAACAAGTGCAAGCAAATGTAAACATAATAAGCGTTTAAAACTTATTAAATGTCAACTTAAAAACAATTTTCGAAATGCATTAAACGTTAAAATTCTACTACTATTCTCTGTAATAGTTGTTGTAGCATATTTATACCAGATATTCAAAAATATGGGAGGTATATAGTTTTAGTCATTTCGTTGGTGACATATCGAATTATTGGACATAGATCCACAAAAGTGTTTCTATAAATATTGGATTCTTAAAATCATATATCCGTATGTTTGTAAACTGAAGGTACTATAGGGTCTAAACATCTGTATCACTAAAGGAATGAAATTTCTCCCCCAAATATTCCTTGCTTTCGGTCATGCAAAAAGTAATAGCGGCCTATAAACCCAAATTTTGGCAGAAATATTTTCGAAAAGAAATCTGATAATTCCAACACTTTTAAAATCAAAATATTTTAAAATTCTTGCTCAAATAGCAATGTTATTCGATCTAGGAGAGTGTATATGATTCGACGAATCCCCGAGTAAAATTGCTTTGTACTTGTTATGCTTCACATTAAAGTTGTTATTTAACATAATGTGTTATTGTTGTAGTAACAGTGATTATGGGACAAAGCACAGTGGAGTAAAATCAAGTGAAACGAAGGCAAAATATCAAAAGAATAAAGATTTGGCTATAAATATCCATGTTTATACTTTAGAATTGATTATAGTTCAAACTACGGATATACGAATTCCACAACAACAGAATATAATTTAGTCTAGTTCAGAATACAGTATATACTATGCACCAGACTGTAAACAAGACTGGATTGTGGACTAGACTATAGACTAGACTATAGTCCAGACTATAGACTAGACTATAGTCCTGACTATAGACTAGACTATAGTCCTGGCTATAGACTAGGCTATAGTCCAGACTATAGACCAGACTATAGTCCAGACTATAGACCAGACTATAGTCCAGACTATAGACTAGACTATAGTCCAGACTATAGCCTAGACTATAGTCCAGACTATAGAATAGACTATAGTCCAGAATATAGACTAGACTATAGTCCAGACTATAGACTAGACTATAGTCCAGACTATAGACTAGACCATAGTCCAGACTATAGACTAGACCATAGTCAGGACTATAGACTAGACTATAGTCCAGACTATAGACTAGACTATAATTCAGACTATAGCCTACACTATAGTCCAGACTATTGACTATTGACTAGACTATAGACTAGACTATAGTCCAGACTATAGCCTAGACTATAGTCCAGACTATAGACTAGACTATAGTCCAGACTATAGCCTAGACTATAGTCCAGACTATACACTAGACTATAGTCCGGACTATAGACTGGACTATAGTCCAGACTATAGTCCAGTCTATAGATTAGACTATAGACCAGACTATAGTCCAGACTATAGACTAGATAATAGTTCAGACTATAGACTGGACTATAGTCCATA